TTTTCATAGAAGTTGAATGTAATCAACTTGCTTTCCACTGTCGTTTGAATTTGGTCAGGAAATTTTTTTATGACCATCCTAAAATGGAGTTTATTCGTAAGGAATTTGAGCTTATATATCTTGTTGGAGAGTGAAAAATTGGACTTTTAGATGGAAAACACATCCTTATCCCTTATTCAACTTAGTAATGAAGAGGATTACACATGCTTATTTGCTAGAAGATCAATCTGAATAGATAACAAGTAATTTGGATTAATAACAGAACAATGAAGATTTTGAAATTGTTGGTGGATTTTAACCCACAGACGGAACTACAAATCATTCCGGTCTGGATTCGTCTCTCTGACCTGAAATTTCATTATTTTACTCAAAATGTGTTATACTCTATTGCCTCAGTCTATGGTAAGTCACTCAAAAATGATATTCTTATTTTTAATCTTTCCCATCCATCTGAAGTCAGAGTACTTGTTGAAAGGGACATCACTTCAATCGCTTCTAAGGAATTTGATTAGGCACACGACACCATGGATATTGGCAAAAGGTTGTGATTGAGTATTTTCTTTCGTACGGTCTGAACTGTCGTATGTTTGGCCACTCCAGTTCTCAATGTCATCATCTACACCCCCCATCTCAAGCCAAATAAATAAAGTGCTTTTCCAGAGGAAGTGATTTCCCCTCCTCCTAATCTGCTCCAAGTTATTAACACTTTTGATCATCAAAAGGATACCCCTGAAGAAGCCACTATCTTCGCAGATAATACGTCAACCATTCAGCTTCCACACAATGCTCATGATGTAGGTCCCCAGTCTATGGAACCTTCTTTCGTGGGGGCGGGATAGACATATCAGACTTCACCTGCCCTGAACCTATCACTGATGTAACGAGTTGCAATATTTCTACTATTTTTCTACCGCCCCATCGGGTCGAGCAAGTTGTTAATATTACTCAGGCACATGGGCTGCAATAGCCTACACCTGTCCGGCCACCTTTGGTCCAATCCACTGATCAGATGAGTCAATCATTGGATGAAGAATGACAAGTTTACACATCCAGGAGGAAGAAGAATTGAGACCTTCTTGCGCTCAAGAATTTAATAGATGATACTTTGGTTACTTCGGGTAATGGTACGCACCTCACCAATTTGTTAGTTGGCTCTCTTCCGAAAACTAGAGGCAGAGGCGGGGCTAAATTGGGTCATCCCTAGTTTTTTGCGCGCGTTGGTAGTTTTGATTATTTTGATCTTTTATGTATTATTTTCTTTTTCTTTTTGGATTTTGTGTGTTTGTATCGTGCGGGTTGGGTGTCTTCTTTTGGGTCCATTCATACAACCTATCTGTATATTTTCCTCTTTAATATATTAGCCCTTAGGCTTTTTTAATATATATATATATATATATATACATATTTTTTTTTTTGAAAATGCAAAATTCATTGATAAAAAAAGAGATGATACAAAGATTTTAGTGAGTGGGTACAAAGATCTCACTCACAGGGATTACAAACGTATTTTTCAAAAATGAAACAACTTCTAATCATTGTGTGTAGTCGGTGGATCTATCGCTTTCCATTCCCCTGGATCTAGAGAGGGAGTCCAGCAACATACTGAGATGTAGGTTTCCGCCCGAAACAATGATACAGTCATCCTGAGAGTTACTGAGATCTGACATTTCTTTCTTCTTCCTGGATTTGTAAACTTGTCAATCATTTGCCAAAGGAAGTCTCGTGTGAACAATAGGTGGATATTCGATGGAGGTAAACTGCTGATCTGACTCAGCCTTCAACATACCTTAATCTTGACACTCCTCCATAACTTGAGTACACTCTTCTCTCGCAATAGGTGGTTCGAGGACACTAGATGGATCCAAGACACTTCGTCTAGCATCTGCTACAACACAATTCGTAGAATTTGTAATCTAAGGAAGAACTGCCTCAACAACAGTAGGCGGAAGCTGCTAATCTGGTTGGGGAGGAGTAACCCCATGAGTCAAATTCTCATTCAACATTTTTGAAAGATTAACAGTATCAGATATATTTTCCTCCACATGGGTGGTGTTGTTAGGACATGCCGATCTCAAATGTGGGTGAAGCTTGAAGCATTTGACAGGGGTGTGCTCAAACAGTTTACAGTGATTGTAGTAATATGATCTTTGTTCAGCTATAATTGACTTTCAATACCCATTGTGGGCAGTGACAAGCCCTATTTCGTCCACATTATGGAGGGTGATATCCCTTTCAACAAGAATTTTTGCAACCGAAGGCCTGGTTAGATTGAAGGTGGGTGTATCCAATTTCATAGGTCTCTCTAGTGCAGCTCCGATTGAGTAGAGGACTTGGTGGTTGAAGTAGTGCAAATTTAAGTCAGATAGTTTAAACCAAATTAAACTATAGGTGGTTCTTGATTAGAGTCAAATTCAGAAGACCACAAGCAGTTTCATATATTTTCCCTCTATTATCATAAACTTTTTTGAAAAATATTTTGGCATAGTTTTCCACTTTAGATAATTGTATCATCACATATTTTCTATCAAAAAGGCAAACTTCCTGAGTCCCAATAGTTTGAGACCTTCAAAAGTCTTTTGAAAGATTTCCATTGAGATGTCCTGATTGGAACTTTCCAATGAGGGTGAATTTGAACTTATTAACCAGATTTGAAACTTCAGCATCAGAGAAGAATAAGGCCAGTTTACCACTCTTCCTACTCGTCTTCTTGATAAGCCTTTGAATAATTCGTGGTAAACCTGAAGGAAAACCTGATCTGATCCCATAGAGCCAACCATATCAACAAAAGAAGTCTTTCCAAGGTTTAAAACTGAAGTAGTCAGTGGTTGAGAAGGAACAATAGTCATAGAGCTCAGAGTCGAACAGTGGGTCTAACTCCTTTGCTGCTCGATCCGCAGAGCAGGGATTGAACGGAGACCACGGCAGAGGAAGTCGCGGTGCTGTGAAAGGAAGCTCGCGCGAGGAGTTAGGACGAACTTAGCTGCGGCGAGAAAGACGAGAACAACCTCGTAACAGTGAGAAAATGCTACGACAAACAGCGACCGGAAGAAGAAGACAATGAACGAGCACGAAGAAACCAATGGAAGACGAAACACTCGGAACAGGAGAAGTCGAATGTGCGTACCGTTCGTCGTCGAGCACGACGAAGCCGAAGGAGTTAGCACAAGGTTTAGCCATCGGGCGAAAACCTAGCAAAACACGACGTCGACACTGACACACACACACATATTAAAGTAAATTGTTTATTTATTTAATTAACTATTTTATGATAAATTATATTAGAGATACTTTCAATTAGATTCCTATTTTTTCAAAAAGAAAAATGATAATGAATCAAAATATAATAATAATGATAAGGAGAGTCAGTTGGTACAGTTAACTTAATAAATATTTAGTTTTAATATATTTATGTACGTAATTATTAATTTTTGGGAGTTTGATTTATGCAGGACCTACTATTTTATGTTGTTCTGTCTGTTAAAATATTTGGAGTTTTTTCAGCCTAAAATAAGTAATTGTTAGTTATTAAGAGAAAATGTACCCTTCGTTGTTAGAGGTGTTGTCATTACTGCTTGTATTGGATTTCAAATTATTTTTATTAAATAATTTTGAGTTCTATTTCACTTATATTGCTAAACATCTTATATATGATTCATTTACTACATATAATGAAAAACAATTATTTGTATTATTTTATTATTGTACAGCTCCTTGCATATCAGATTAAATCGTGCAATTATAATAATTTTCTTTTCTTGCACATATTATAAGCCTGCTCGAAGTATTAAGTATTTTCATCATATCTTTTGTATGTTTATCTATGGAAATATTTGGAAATTTGTATACTTGTATGCAATGATATTTATGTCAGTGGAGCCCTTTTTATGTTCATAGCCAAGCCTACGGGCTCACATAGTGATGATTCTACAAGAAATCATCAAAATTGCTTAGGTTGGTGTTTATCTTCTCCGTATCAAAATGCTTGATAAAATTAACTATATAGATATAAATTGAGCTGAAATTAAATAATAACTATTAGGTAATATAGTATAATAACTGAATATTTGGTAATACACTAGTAAAACATAACTGGATTTGAAGAAACTATATTGTAATACATAAAATTGAGTGCTAATGATTGCAGATAACATTAAATAGATTGAGAACATTCATATTATCCTAATGATAATTTTGACAACACTTTTTCCTTGATAGTGTCAATTATACATATTATAAATTGTCTTGTTTCGTTATTCATACTACATTTCACCGCCCTTGCCATTTATTCTTTGATAAATGGTGGTCATTTACTGGATTTGATTTGTTAAACTCACTCATTGATTATTTTTTTTATATTAGGTTTCACTCAATCATTCGGAGGATCGTCTTTACAAGAGCAGACATTTCAATTTTAGATTTAACTATTGGATATTTTCAGCAATTGTATTAGTTATTATATTTCTCTTTGGAATTTGAGTAGTTATTTATCCATTGTTATTCCAATTCCCTTTTCTATTAGTTTCTTTTCTTTTCAATTGTTGAACTTTTAATTATGAAATAAAATAAAATTTATCTTTCCAAGTTTTTTTTAGCGAGTGTTTGTATATAATCTTTTATTTTTAGAATACAACATAGGTTCACAACATTTCATCATGTCTTGCATTTATGGAATGCATCGCTTCTTGGATCAGGGGTGTGACAAAAAAATTGTCAACTTTATTAAAAAAAATGAGATCAACAAATGGTTATGTGTTACTTCATTTATATTGTGTTTAATTTTCATTACATAGCTTAACGGCAACAATGTTAAGATGGGTTTGAACTGTGAATGATTTAGAAAAAAAATTTGAAGTGTCCAATTGTATCCCCCTTAATGTGCACTCAACAACCAATTGGCATAAGAGCAATATACCTTAAACAATCAATTTATATAAGAGCTATATAACTTCGGTATCTAAAGACAGTAATTAAATGATAAAAAAAAACGACACAATACTCACTAGCTTATGGTTCTTTCCACCTTTAAACTTGTAGCCTACATGGAAGTTTGACAAGGAATTGTTAGAAGAGAACTCTGAAATCTAAGCCAATAGAAACGAGCAGTAATCAAAAGAATTGAATTACAATACATATAATCTGATGCGCAGCAAATAAAAAAATTAGACTAATACGCAATTCCATGATATGATTTGGTAGAAAAAAGTTTATGAATTCTACCTCGGGGTACCAATTTTATAAACAATTTGAATACAAAAATCTAAGTACGTAAAAGTAGAGATCCATCAAAACATGTTCTATAAATATGACAATTGCACAAAATGCAATATCTTAAGTGAGAAATTACCACTTACAGAAAGTGAAATGAGAAGGGTGTCCCAACTACCATGTGAAGTACAAATTAAGTTCAATACCAAACCTATAAAGAAAATTTGATGGTTGACAAATTTGAAAGAACCAAACTGATTAGATGATTTCATAGTTCACATGGAATCTAAGAGCTCACAAGATTTAACTAGGCGTACAATGACAAATAAAAAGCAATCAAGAAATGAAAGTAGATGATGCTAGCAGGAAGCAACAATTGCCTTCCAATGAACATATCAAACTATTTGACAAAATTGTGCAGAATTTCATTCCACAATGAAGTGGACAACATGATTCTAGTAAGATAAGTTCAGTAGAGAATACCAAGTTTCCTACGGAAGATTCAAAAAGAAGTACAGCCGGTGTTTAAAGAAGAAAAAAAGCTCATGGGTTAGCATCATATCATCTTCACTAATCCGGTAGGGAAGAAAGCAAATTTATTCAAAGGATACAGCCAATGAAAAGCTTTAAGTTGCATGCATCTTGTGGGTAGATCCAAACTCCCAGCAGCTAATCTATAGGCTTCGTCAAAGGAAGATTCAAGTGTTTTACTTTCTCACATCACCATTACATAGTGAAAAATTAAAATATAGATAAAAGAAAATTTGTGAAAATTTAAATGTTTATTTGTCCTGCCATGAAAAAAGAATAGCTTATTGTCTTACAAAAAAGGAAAAAATTTTAAACAAACTTAAAAACTAATAAATAAATCATCATTGTTCTAATTAACTTTTAAGAATATATTCTTTCTATGGCCTCGCTTGGTCACTATGTTCTTCCCATATAGGGCAGAATCTAACAAACAAAATTCTGGCTGATCCCGCCAAAAAAGACTAAGATTTATGTCGGTGTTTGCAATGTACTCTAACTTTGCTTTTGAGAGCTCATTGAGCTCACGCTGCTTTGCACCCATTGCGCAACTTATCTCAATCCTGCTAGCAACTTTGGCGTTCGCTATTGCAAGGCGCCTAAGGTTTCACATGTTTATTTAAAAAGTGTTAAGAGAAAGTTTAATTGAATCGGGATCAAAGCTACTAAGTGCAGAATTTGAGGGAGTAAAGGTGACACCAACCTCATGTACGAGAGAAGAGGAAGAATTACAAACGTGAAATGAAGAGCCAAAACCTAGTGAAACTCTGAAATGATGAACTAAAAATGAGAAGGGGCAAAGGAGTATAAATGACCTTAAATGAAAGTAATTAAAAGAAGTGAAATGTGATGACTTAAGTCAATCACGATTACCCCCAAATGATACTAACAGGGTATGCGATGTACCCGTGCATGACAAAGGAAATGGAAATGATAAAGGTGTACCTCTGGATGCGAAATTTAAGGATACATACAAGTATAATTTTGATAATACATTCGGGTATGACGGTAATCCTGATATGACTCTTAAAGAAGGTAAAAAGGGTAAATACTTAAACTGAAACGGAATGGATAAATTTAAAATAAAAACTTAAAGTAATGAACTATATTTCTTTTGATCATTCATACATAGCATTTGCATATGAATTTAACGCATATTAAGATTATACTTGATCAATAAATTGTGAAAATTTACTGTTGAATTTAATAGTTTCTTTCAAAAAAATAGTAAGATGATATGTCTGACAAAAAAGATATAGTTTATATGAGGAGGACTATTGCTGATAGAAATTATGATAATAATTTCTGTGTTGTTTTCTTTTAGATAGTGACACACTGTTGTATGCTGGTTTAAGATGTTGTCTACAAAATTAATTTTTATTTTTTAATGTTCTGATTTATGTATAGTATATTTTGTAATTTTTTAGTGGCTCTTTTATATATTGGAAGTTTCTAGAAATCTATGGATAGTTATTTAAATGTTAATACCGTCCGACCGCTATTTCTGACTTATTCAATTCTAAGTTATCAGGTTGGTTCGTGACATTGGTTATCTTTATTGTTTCAAGTTTCAACATAGCTCCGATTCTATCACATGTCGAACACTATTTTATATGATAAACCAACTCTTATTTCTTTTTCAGCCAGAGGTTTATAATCTAAAAACTCCATTTTCATGCTTCTTTGTTAGTAAACTTTTCTATGGCTGACCAAGCTTAGATATTAATCATACCTTTATGAATTAACTTCATTGTTAGGTGACTACCCTGTTAGATTTCTTAATCATTATTATGTGCTCATGAAATTTTCTATGTAAGTATTGTACTAAACTTTCTCTCAATGTTCGTATTATTTGAATGGTCTTCAAGTATGCAAGTTGAAGCGGTCTCGTCACTTTTGTATTTCTGAAAAACTCACGATTACCCCTTCTTAGATTATTTTTCCTTCACCTCTAAGACCACTACTCCAATCAGTCCACATTATAATACTTGGATTCAACTTTTGGTAAGCCAATATAAGTGCATGTTGTTGCTGTGAGATTCTCTCACCAACAATCTTGTTGAGTTAGACACTTCTGCCTTTTGGCTCAAAAAGTAAGAATTGTCACTCCCTCATGTCGCTATTGGTAAAATGGGGAATTAAAAGATTTATCCTAATTATGCAAACACTATTAATTTTTTGGATACGACTTTTTTTATTACTTCAAGGCCCATCCGAAATTAAGGAAATCATCCTATGAGATTCCTAATGATGGGATTGACTCCTATAATCACGATACAAACACAAGATTTTTTTGTTGTATGTACTCACGACCAAATGAAACCTTCTCCTACTGTTTTAATCCACCTAAATTCTTAGGCTGTAAATATTACTCTTCTTCTTCTTAGTTGCTACATTCACTTGTTAGAACCTGTAAATATTACTCTTCTTCTTCTGAGTTGCTGCATTCACTTGTTATTGATGTTTTGTTGGATGGCAATATCCCTCCTACTCCTAGAATTATAGTATCATTATATTCTGATGTTAGAATTTGAGAGTTTATTAAAGAACTATAATCTATCAAGAACCATGCTTGGGTTGAATGAATATCAGCCAAATGACAGATATTCCATCAATCATACAACTCCTCATAATATTACAATTATTTTCACCGGTGTTATATTTGAGTGTTTTGATATGAAAGCCATTGATGATTCGAGCTCAGTCTAATCTAATAGTTCTATAAGAAGATTATTGATTTAGTGGATAAAAATTTCCAACCAATATTTTCTCATCAAAGCACTAATAAAAAAAAAAACTCTCCCTGCTTCAAGATTTGCCAAATTCAAAGACAAGCAAAATAACTCTCCTGATGGTTTTAGCATTCATCACTCGGTAAATGCCAGAATATTAGTAATCTTCCAACAATCCATAATATCATGGTAACTTTGCCTTTGTTTTTATGATGTCAATCCTATGCAAATGCTAGTTGATATAATATTTTTAATGAATTGTCATAAAATTTAACTATCAAAAAAGATTGAGTGGCAATCAAATTTGAACCAAAGTTAGTAGAATACCAAAGTTGCATCCAAACCCTTAGTTTTTTAGATTTGATGCGAGTTCTATACTTTCCTTTGGTTAAAACCGATCACCCAAAGATCTTCGGAAGATATAAGTTGAATATAAGAAAAAAACCAAAAGACTAATACAATAGAATTCCACTTATAGGACCTATAAGATGGAAAAAACAATATTGGCTTATCAAATTATCTCTTAATCCATGAAAATGATTCAGTAAAAGATTCGAAAAAGACAATTTGTTTCTTAAGATCTTACTCATATTATATAAAGATTAGGCTACAACAATAGCATCTTCCCACACTATTCTGCCCAAGTAATCAATGAAGCTTTTCCTCATGTAAGCTTAACTTCTTATTCCAATAAAAATTGCTTACATCTCTTTATTCTATTTATGCCTAACAAGAGTAGCCGGTTTGGATCTGAATATATGTGCCTATGTGTTTCCCAAAAACATTCATGCAACGCAAGATCTTGAGTTTAAAAATTTTACACCAAAAGTACACTTTTAAAATGAGCATTCATTCCCAAATGGCGGCTGAGCATCAACCTCATGAAATCAACTCAAATTTTAATAAAGTCCATGGCTTAAATACAATCTATGTACTTATATCACCAAATCCCTCAAATCTCATTCATTTTCTTGCTCTGATCTCGACCTCTTGTCTAAAATGACCTACACTCCCACTAACAACATGGCATGCACTCGTGGAGCATTCATTGCAACTCAACTACGATTAGCATGTGTCCAGTGTCTCCAATCCTCGGATGCACCCGTGTTTGCCTCTACAGGGGGGCTTGGCCGCCCGCCCTTAAGTGGTTCATGCATGCTCTATTTTCTGTGTGGCTTTGTGAACGCTTCTAACAGAGCACGCACCTCCTCTTTGCAAACATCTCATGGTGTAGGCTTTCCTCTCTAACAATATTCCTATTTCAATTGGAATACCCCCACTCACTCACTCCCACCTCCAAGGTTTTCAAGTTTTATCTCCATCTTCTTTCCAATCTTTGATGAACTTATATTCTTCCTCTTACCTTCATGTTATGCTCGTTCTCATCCTGTCTTTGGTCCTTCTTATCTACCATTCAAATTTTTTATCTGAATCCATCTTCTTTCCCATCAATTGTTCAATAAGCACCTCTTCTTCCTTACTCTTTAATTGTTCCTAGGGCTTTAGATGAACCCCTAATTAGGTTGCCTCCAAAAAACCCAATGGAACCTCCTAATTAGCACCGTCCTCG